CCCCTGTCTTTATGATACTTTTAAAACAAAAACTAAAGCTCAACACACAAAACTAAACAAATATTTTTGTAGGTGTTTTCTTAAAATAAAAAAGACTCTAAAACTCCTCAGTATGTTGCAGCAAATAACCGATGCAAAACAGGACTACTTTAAAAAATAAAAAAATTATGAACCCTACATTATTATACAAAGACTCACAAATTTAGAAATACCTGTGAAAGCAGGTATCTCTACCCAAGATTTCACAGTAAGCAGAACAGCTACTCACTCACTGAGGCAATTCTTGCTTTTCATTGTGCTGCCTTCTCATTGCTAGCGTTTCATTGCTTAACCGTTGTCCAGGCTTTCCCCTTTTACCCTGTCAAAAAAAAGAGAAAGATGTTTCTGTATATAATATTCACCATCACTCAGCAAGCATCTATGCACAATTACCTGATATACAAGCTATGTGGAATTATCAAGTGATTTTTTTTTTATTAAAAAAAATTGTCTGTTTTTATTGTTACAACTTCTATTATAACACCACCGTGCATTTTTATTTTATGGCATGAATATGAAGGATTACCATCACATCTAAAATCACATATGAAATATCAAAGTAAATTTGCATTATGCCAAGTTAATAGTATGAGTGTCTTGTTTTTCCTGAAAATTAAATCATGTATTTCTCTGACACTACCATGTTAATTCAGGAGAAAGCATTGCATTGGACTGAAGCCATCTAACCAGCAGTTATTCTATTTTATGACATCACCCAAGTTTCAGGATTTTGGGTTTGTTCCCTATTTGAAAAAAAAAAAAAAAAACAAAAACCACAACTCTAAAAGAGAAATTTTCCAGTAGTTTAGGCATGATTTTGTTTTACACTGCTAATCACGGCTCGAGTTACTCCAGTTTCCACATCGGGCTTGCCTTCCCTCTCCCTAACCCGTACCTTCCTGTGTCCCGTTTTACTGAAACAGATTCATCTGCGGTATAACCGCCGGTATATTCCGGCCTATGCTATATTTCAAGCGTAAGCCGTTTGCCCAGCGGTACACAAAACCCAAAGGCAGTACGCACGCTGCCCATCAAGACCCAGTAGAGTAACAGTGGTGAGCATCAGTGGTCGGACTGTATCAGCAAGGCTTTAAATTCTCACCTTAAAAGAGACAGCAATCCGAGCAAACCGTTCCCTAGGAAATGCACGGCTTGGAGCATCTTGGGCATCGCATCTTGGGCATCGCTTGCCTTCTAAAAGCAGGCTGCCAAGGGCTTGCACACCACACAATTTTCAAGAAGGCAGAGCGAAGGCTGCTCTGTATCTTCTGTGAAGGTCATAGTCAGCAAAAGTGCCTGAAAGAGTTTCAAGATCCTACCAGTTCTTCCTGAGACCTCACTCCAAACAGCGTTGCAGAAACTACCAGCAGCAGGTACCTCTCCTCCTGCGTACTCACTCACCCCCGGCCACGTAGCTGGGGCTGTGGCCGTCCTCGGTCCTTTCCTTCTCGAGTCTCAGGCAGGCAGTGCTGCGGGCGGGCAGCAGCAGCACTAGCCCACGCGGTGCGGGGGGCTGCTCCCGCCTTTCCAGCTACTGCCTCCAGCTGCAATGGGATGTCTCCACCTTTCAGCAGAGGTCATTTTTGTAGCTTTTCCCTGCAACAAGAGGTGCTAGAAACATGCTTTTACTCACCTCCTTTTAAAAAAAAAAAAAAAAAAAAAAAAATCTCTAAGTACCAGGCTCCCAGACCTCTACCTGATTTGAGCTGCGCCATAGGCACGTGTTGCTCCGCAGCAGGCTAAAGACAAGTCTATCTTGCTACCAACAGGGATGTAGCTGTCCTGTACCCAGAGAAAACAGCTAGCACTTTGGGTTTCCAAAATACAGCCCTTGGCTTTAGATTCCTGCAGCCAGCTGGCAGCCACAAAGACCGCTATCACAGTGAAGTTTAGAAAAGCATCCAAAATACCTCTGGCATTACTACCGGCTTTATTCACATCAAATTTGATTGACCAATATTTATCAGCCACTAGTAAAGCTGTTTTTATCTGCATAGAATTCATATCAAATTCACAGACTAGCAGAAAAAAAGGTAACACTAATTTTTAAGGAAAGCAGCAGTTAAAGCAAAGAAGAACCGTCCACGCTCAGAAAATCATTACAGCTGAATTGACATTACTAAAGGACAAGCCACCCAGGTTAGGCATGTGTCCAATAAAAATGACGGCTGTTCCTAAGGCACAAGCAGAATTGTCAATAGAGGTTGATACCAGTTCAGCTTAACTTATATGACAGCAGCGCACTACAGTTATTTTTTTTTAAAACAGGAGTTTATAGACATTCCTGTATCTACATAAATGTCACTCAGAAAATATTAGCTGGAAGTGGCTTTAAGAATGGCAAAAATCCATTATCAGGATTATGGAAAAATAGGTGCTTGTATATTCATTAGTTTCAGTACAGTTTTTAGAAATGTAATTTTTGAAACATCTTTATTTTAAATTACGTCAGAACTTCACAAATCTGCCTTCCATCAGCTGGATGAAAAATTTGCACTATTTTTCATTTCTCAGGATATATTAAACATTAGACTCCGTGTTGCTGAGATCAAAGGTTCTTACAAGCTGTGAGCTGAAGTGCCCCATACACTCCGGGTTGTTACCTACAAGTGACTTTTCTCACCAAAGCGGCGAGGAGCCAGGCTGCCGCCCCCCCGGAGGGTGCTGCTGGCGGCCACTGCTAGACGGCCACCGGCTCCTGAACTGCTTTCCTCCACTGCTCCGCGAGAGCCGGCCACCACCTTTCCTGGAACGCCACTTCGAGCGGTACACGGGCACAGGACCTACATTAACGGATAGCGTGCTAATTGATCCGGCTGGGGGACAAGGGGAGCATCTGCTGCTGCAATTATTTGAGTAGGTTTTGGGTTTGAGCATTTGTCAAGGAAGGTTGCAGGCACTTGGGTCTGGCTGGTTAGTCAGGTTGCAAGTTGCAAAGTTGCAAAGGAAGGCAGAAAACTGCTGCAGCTTACCACCTCATATGGATTGCCATGCATTAAGTGCTGTCGGAGTTTATATTTCAACTTTTGAACATGTAGGATGAGGTTTTCAAGAAAGCTCTGGCTCTATTCACAGGGACAAACTCTGAGGAGAGGTCAAGACCCACCAAGTTTTTGGATTCGCAATAGGAGCCAACAACTTTAAGAGTTTGGTTTTAAGTGCCAGCATTTCTCTCAAATTTATATCTAGCTTTTGGAAACCCAAGTCCTGGGCTTTCCTGCTGTTCTCCATTCTGTGTACTATTTGATCAAATCTATGTTACTTATTTTGCTTAAAAGTAAATCATGCACAATGAAAAACACTGACACAGATTATAGGCAAAATAAATATTTTATTGGTTTAATATACACTTCTTTTATAAGAAATCAGCCCTTGTGTGTCTTCCTAACACAATTTAAAATCTTACAAACTTTTTCATATAATATTGTTATATTTGAAACTATTTTTGATTAAAGACCTCGACATAGTGTAAAGAGCTTTAGTAGATGGAAATGGCAAAGGAGTAAAGACATTCCAAACACAGCAAAGTGGGATATTACATATCCACTAAATGTCTCTTTGACCACATAAAACCTCCAATGACTTCCAATTTGCTCCACTGGAACAAATGCATGTTCACCAGGCTAACTGAAAATACACTCAGTTAGGGCTGGGAAAGGACAAGGGATTTTTTTTCCATTTTCCCTGTAACACAAGCAAGGTCGTTTATCCATTCCAAGTTGCACATCCTAATTGGTTTCAGAAGATCAGTACTTTTATTGCATTTTGGTTAATATGAAGCAGAAGAGAACACCTCTTAGTATGACTGAGAGCAGTCAACACAAAGATAAAAAACAGTGCTTAAAATAAGGCATTTTTCTGTAGAGGGATGGGCAAACAGTAAGGAAGCAAATAAAATTAGTTAAAAGTTGTCTTCTATACAAAGATAAGGCTTTCAGTGTCAGAACTTTAAGTAGTTTTAAGTAACCTCATGTCATTCTACCACTCTGCTAATAGTAACCGCCCCAAGAATTAACAGCAATTTTTACATCAGGATTTTTTCCTTCTTTTGAAGTGGCACTAAGTAACAGCAGTGGAAACCATTATTGGTTGTTTCAAGCTCTTAAAGTGGATCAGTTATTGCACAATAAATACCTCATAGAGGTCAGTGTTTTGGGGGATTTTTTGTTGTGTGTTTCTTTTTTTTTTTAAAAAAACAACAACCTTAGGCTGAATGCGTGTGTGTTATTTATAAATTGGTTACGTCTGGAAATCTTCAAGTTTCATGATGCATTAAACAAAGAAATTAGCTACATAAAAAATTTACAACAGGGACGTACAAACAAATACAAAACCTTTTAGAGAGCCACAGTTTTGTTGATGCTTTAAGGAAAATAATGAACTAGTTAAAGTGTCTAAGTCTTTACAGATGAACTCAAGGAAAGGTACACATCATGGAACCAAGCGTCAAATACAGTAGCCTATCTCAGCAGCTTTAACATCTCCTGAAGCAAAACCAACTCGACACTTTCACCAGCGTACGCCGCCCAAAGCAGAATCCCACAGCATTTCGGACTACATCCAGCCTTACAGAAAACAAAAAGCAAGACAATTATCTAAATTAGATTTTTGGAAGTCTGCTTGTTATGCTTAAGCATGTATTTTGAAAATATTCGTATCTAAGGCAGGCAAGTTACAGAAATCCTCTCACATGATGCATTCACATGCAAAGCCAGCACAGAGCACACCAAAACCAAAAACCAAGGACCGCTGCATGAAAGCTGACAATAGAATGGGCCAAACTACAAACCAGCTGATTTTCCAAAGCTATCCAGGATTATCGGTATCCTCTGTATTCACTGAACTTCCATTTTGATCACTTATATTTCAAGAGGAAAACGCAAACAAAGCAAGGATTACGTTAACAGGGATATTTCATATACCAAAAAAGTAAGTCTGGTTGTGGCAGTTAGCCAAAGGTTACCTGTAGTACCTGTTTCATGGCTGTGTATCTTGTTTTGCAGTTGCTGATCTGCTTTGGGGTGATACAGCGGCTAACAATCCACTTACTATTTCTCGTCTTATTTCACCAACGATAGATTCCTTGATCTGAAAGGGATTAACCAAAATTTTAAGGTCAGTAAATTGTAAAACCAACGGATAAAACTAAATGATACTGCAAATACGTTGGACATTATTGACATATGAAAATGTACAATACCAAAAGGTCAATTTAAAAAAAAAAATGCTAATGGAAAAATATAGGAGGGTTTCTCTTGAAAAATAACTGTAAGTAATTTTAAAGTTCTCGCAAATTGTATAAATGCAAACCCAAGTAGTTTTATTTTTCCAGATGGTAAGTATATCTGTGTTTTACACTTAGGATTACTGGTTTTACGTTAAGGAAAAATACATTCCAACTACGCTAAAGTTCTGACAATGGCATTTCAGGATATACAAATGCCCCAAATGCACCACTTTTTGAAATTAGTTGTTATCTTTTGAAAAGGAAGGCAGGACTGATCTGCCTTACAAATGGATTATGCAGTAGAAAAGGCCGAAGTCTATGAAGATGAACTGCTGTTTTCATATAAATCAAAAGGAGACAAATCCTAATTACAAGAAAACTTCAACAGTTGCTCACATCATCAGTTGGCCCCTGGGATATGATCTGTGCTGACAAAGATTATTTTTCACAGGATTGTGACAAGGCATTTACCCATTAAGTTTTACATAAAAAAAACCCAGGAGTTACTACTAGCAGGCACCTGAACGTGGCTGAGGCTAGAACAAAGAAAGAACAGAGCACTGACAGCTACAGTAAAGGAAAAGGAGAAGAGGAGGCAAAGCCCAGTTGTACAAAGGCATATTATGCCAGAAAGCAGCAGGGCGTGACAAATCAAAATTATACGGGCTGCTCGCAAGTCTGAGAAATCTTTGGCACCAACTCATTTTTTGGACAGTCTTCACGTGGGGAAGGACTAACTAGTCAGACGTGGTTCCAAGGACAGCAGAGGATGACGATGGTGAGAGTGCAGGGGAGCAAGAGCCCGAGCCCAGCCGCTGGGGTCACTCACAGAAGCGCTCATCAGCCTAGTTAAGCTACACAGTTTTCTTTTCCTTATGAAAAGGGAAAATAATTTCCTGGCACGAATAACTGATCTTAAACTAAAGAAAATACTGTTCATAGTGTAATTTCAAAGTAGCTTTCAAGTGCCTGAGTAGCGATAATACGTGAGACTCGATGCCAGAAAAAAGCCCGAATTTCTAATCCCGATTTTGCCAGTAACAAATCCCTTCATGTTCTGATGCCCCATCAACATCACGGGGAAAATATTTACTCAAACCCAGCCTTCCCAACAGCCCTGCCATGTTTGCGTAGCCCTCTCATCATCTCGATTATCATCTTGCAATTATTCTTGTAAGTCTCCCCTTTTCCTGGTGCGTCAAAAGGATTAAGCAACAACGTCAGAAGGGTGGCAGCAGCATTAGCAACAGGTTATTTATCCCTTGTTCTTACTGGCAAGCAATTCAATCCCTAAACCATTAGTGGCAAAGTTCCTCCTTTCATTACTACTTTGCATCAAGCAGAAATTCAGAGACTATAATGTTATTGGGAAACAGGTTTCCAGTTGGGTTGTTTGCTGATTAACTGACTAAAGAAAAGCCAGTGTGTAACAGAACCTGGCTTATGGATGGCCCCAAGTCCTGAGGGTGTCTGTGCTGATGCACACACAGACCTACAAAGCGTTAGGACGGCTGTCAATGCAGTAAGGGCTTTGGGATTTAGAAATGCTGGCACAGGGAAACAGCACCCCAGCTGACCGGCAAGCCACTGTGGTAACAGAACCCTCCTCTGCTCTCTCTGTGTTCCTCCTCCAGCATCACATGGGGTGGGTCTGCGAAGATGCTACAAAACAGTCATTCTGTGCCCTTCCCTTGCCGGATAGACAAAAATAAACCTCACTTTCCACAGAAAGCTGATAAAAGCTTCCCAAATTAGCAAGTAAATGGTCTAGTATGACAGACAGTCTTGTGGTGAGGTGGAGAATGGAAGGGAAGCGGCTCCTGTTCTATTCTCAGCTCTTCCAACAACTTCTGTCTTGACCTTGGAGCCCTCTGCCTCTCACCTTCCTGCCCGGACAACAACAAGGCCACCCTCCACTGCTTCTTTTCATTGCCACTGCTTCCTCCCTCCTTTCCAGACTCATCAAGGTCATTCCTGCGTGGCGAGCACAGCATCGATTCCCGAGGCGACTCAGTCCCACGCCTGTGTCACAACAATTGCCTATGTTTGCCTTTTTCATTACAAACGATTTAGGGCAAGGTGCACCTTCCATTTACTCTGCAGAGGGCACAGCCCGTTGCCAAGGCTTCCTCTGAACAAAAGACAGCAGCAGTCAATGAATGCTCCACTGGTATTTTTAGCAGCTGAATGAAAAATTGATCATTTGAAAGAGGAGAGAACCCACTCATTTATGGTACGTTTACTACGTTGATACACCACTAATAATCAATATTGTATTAATAGCACAATACCACATTCATAGATAGTTTTACTACAGTAAAACAGTGATCTTTCTTCCTATGGAAGAATTATCATTACTGTAATAATATGTTGCTGCTAAATAACTGATTGACAGTGAAATGTGCCACAGTAGCAATTCTGAAGATGGGTGTTCTTCACCTACCGATAGAAAATGGGCATGAGGCTTTCACAGCCCTCATACTCCTGATCTAAGATAGGTTTTCTAGAACTAAAAGAATTATTTTCTACTCCTTTTCTTCTTGTGCCGCTTCTTCATGGCAGCAGCTGGTGAGGTTTTTATGCTCAAGATAGCAAGATGAGGAAGCCAACGCCTGCACAAGGGAAGTATGAACAACCAGCAGACATTTTTGATTGATGCTGAACTGACATGGATTTCAATGGAAAATGGAAAAGAGAATATTCTCTATCAAACCATCTCTCTGTCCCATAAAGACCCATTACAGCCTCTTAAAACAGACACTGACAGGAAAATCATACATTTCTTCAAAGTATAACTTCATTAAATGCCATTTACAATGGAGAACTGTTAGGAAAAACAAAACCTGCAAGCTTTTTAACCTACTACATCTTGCAGAAGAGCAGAGTCAGAGGGCCCAATGGCACTGCCAGTGACACCGTGACCCACGAGTCAAGCAAAAAGTGCTTCACGTGATACTACAATGGAGGTCAGGCTGCATTTTCATCAAGACAAGAGGGCCGCTGTTTGGCTTTTTTTTCCACATTGTTGAATGCTTTTCCGTGGGAGTTAGTCCATTAACGATAGAAGTTAACACCATGGGTTTTCTTCATGCCAGCAAACAGTTACAGGTCAAAGCTCACATGCATTACAACCCACCCAGGCATACTCTGAAACACTGCCTGACTTCTCTTTCCCCAACATGAGGTCACCCAGCTACAGAGAATAGGAGGAATAAGCAAGGGTTTAACATTTGTGAGTGCATATACCAAGAATGTATTCTACCAGATTTCTTTCTTTTGACAACGAAACTGGAATTCCTGTGTTAACAACAGAGCTACTTAAGGAAGACACTTTTCAATTTATGCTCTGTTTTAGCTCTTACAAAATCCAAAAGATTTTCCTGAGCAGTATTGAATAGCATATTCTGGCTCTGCAAAAACTACTAGGTGCTTTAAACCAATGCATCTTCATTCTGACCTGCAAAACTTCTCATGCTGAGAATCCGAGCCAATCCGAAACAGGCTGCCAATGAAGTTAAACTGAGGGACAATCTCTCTGTGTGCTCAAACATTTACAAAGTGAGTCAAGCTCAGTTATTTGCTGACTACTCATCTTTGAATAGTAGCCTCTCAGTTCAGTGTGGATTCTTTCAGCATTACAATGTCCTCAGTGCCACACAACCCAAAGAACAATCTCTGTGCAAAGTGTACACATCTTTATTTGCTATCAATTAATGAAGTTAAAGAGGAGCTTTCACACAGGCTAACCACAGAGAAAATATTGACTGAAATAACTCTGTACTTTGACTCCAGCTCCCATTATTGTCTCTGCTGCTTTTACATTTGAATTACAGCTCTCTCCTTCCTCTCTCGATTTCTCCTTCAGCAACACCCCACCATGTCACCACTCTTCTGACCCTCGGGTTTTTACAGAATGGCTAGACATGATACAAATGCAATTTCCTGCCTTTGCTTCAGAATTGGCAGCAAAGTGCAAGGTGTGATAAATACCTCATGTGCAAGTCTTCTCTGAGCATTAGGCAAGGAACCCTTTTAAAAGGGATGAAAGGAAAAAAAATGGACCAGAGTGAGAATTTGGCATGTCTGGGAATATTTTATGACATCTCCAAACACAGACTTTCCCAAGACTCCTCCTGACTTCACTCCAGCTACTTTAGAGAAGATGGCAGCAGGAGGGTGGCCGGGGGGCGGGGAGACATTTGAAAATTGAATTTTTGCCACCCTGCCTCATTCACCTTTTTGCTTTCAAAGTAGAGGTGTAAAGTTGTAGCATCACAAGCTCCACTGCAAGGACCAGTGATGGTCAAAGTAGAGGTGTAAAGTTGTAGCATCACAGGCTCCACTGCAAGGACCAGAAGGTGTTCAGTTCCTAAGGTTGAGCACAGCAATGATGAGGTCGTTGGTCTGGTGGTACCTCACCGTGAGCTGACTGTGGTACCCTTCCTTCCAGAGGAACTTCCCGTAACTCATCCCACTGATGGGGAAAAGCACTATTCAGCATCGTGAGGCTACCTACTGAAAGCTGGTCTCCATTCCACCTCACTGCCAAACTGCATCATCTTTTAACACCAGCAGTTCACTCAATGTTAATGCTGTGGCTATGCATTATTCTTTGCACTCTCAGCTCTGGTTATTTATAGAGTTACACACAGCTAAAGAAAGAAAACATCTTCATATGCTTCCAGCCATCATCTTCTACCAGGAACACTTTCTTGAAATGCTCTGCTGCTTCACAGATCTCACTGTGCAAGTGTAAAGTGTCTATGCATAGCAACACGCACAGTGAGTCAGTCAAGAAAACATCTCCATGACATCTCTACTGCTGTAGAGATAGACACAGCAGTCTTGTGGTCAGACAATGAGCAAAGGGCTACCTTATGGTCCAGTATACTCTGCCTCTTTCTGCACTGAGAGAAGAAGGGTGAAGGCATGGCAAAAGATCTTTCTGGCATCACAGCTGACGTTTTATTGTGAGATGAGCAACTTGTCTCTCACCTTTTTTAAACACAACGCAAAGGCAAAGCTCGTTCCAGTTATTGACAGCCTCAAAGCAAGCAGCCCTGGATGGCAGTGTCACAGCCTGGCCTGTTGTACATTCCTGAGCATAACATCTCTCCAGGCCTTTCGAGGGGTTTAAGGCAGAGCTGTACCAAAGCTTCAAGGTATGAGCTAAAGGCTAAGGGTCAGTGACCCTCAGCTAAAGGCTAAGTGGTCCCTCTCCAGTGAAGGAGAGGGAATAAAACCCACAGGTTCTCAATGCCCCTCTGCTGTGTACTCACAGCAGAGAGCTCGCTCCACTTTCTCACGGGCATTGCTTTTGAGAACAAGAAGTTTCTTTTGCTTCCTTTTTCCCATTTATACTACTTGCCATCAGGCTTTCTGTCATGCCATTGACAAACAAAACATGTGGGTTTAGTCCTGTTTTTTAACCTGGCCTGCAGAAAAAAATAACCAAGCACCCTTCACTTTCATTGACTGCCAATAAAATGAGTCCAACAGCATCAGTGCAACGTCAGTCTTGAAGTCTGAAATAACTTCTCATCTGACTACAGCTTGCTTCACTTACACTCCTACAGTCCTTAGTGGTTTGGGTTAGAGGACTGGGAAAGTATTTTTAAACATTTAGTACAGAGTTGTTTCAGAAAGAGTATTTCATCAATCAAATTAACTCCAACTCCAACCATTTTAGCAAGCAAAAATGACAGAGAAATTTTCACTTGGGAATCTGAAATACTACTGCTTAACCAAGTAGTAGAGACGGCAAATTCTTTCTCACACAGATTTAGAGTAGCAACTAGCTATTAATTTATGTGCTAACCACTATCACTAAAAAAAGTCTACTGCTTTGCACAAGAATACAGCTGTGGCTTTAACATCTAGTGACAAGCTCTGAGCCTTTAGAAATAGGACAGTAACAGTGTGGAGCCTTGGCTTGTGAGGGAAGAGAAAACCCCAGTGGCCAAGAGTTACAGGTAGCCTGTCTTTAGTTTTCAGTAAACACCATTCAAACACCCTAGATCTCAGCCCCACCCTCCTCACCTCCCGTATGACTTGCTGCAGCTCCTCCTGCTCCACGCTTTTGTGGATTTCATCAACCGACGGCATAAGAGGGACTTTTTCAAGTTTGTGCTCCATTTCTGGCTTGGAGTCTGCAAGCTCCTCAGAGCTCTCCCTCTGCTGCCCAGCACCTGCTCTCATGGGGGGAGTTGGTGTTAAGGCAACGGAGGCTCGGTACAACTTCTTGCTTTGACTCTTAGACCTTCCTGTTAGTTCAGAGGATCCAACAGCAGCTTTTCTACCTGCGTGACCAGAGCACACTGAAGAGGAATCAGAGTTTCCATGGGAGAATACGGACTCTGTACCCTCTGCTGGCAGAGTTTCCAGTCCAAGATCTCCCAGTCCTAAACCCAGTTCAGACTTCAGAAATGACTGCTCTCGAATAAGTTCGGAGACCTAAGGATCCAGAAAAGAAACAGTCCTGAATAAGCATATCAAAAAGTCACATACAGACACAACTATGCTTTCTTTTTATTTATTCAATCACTTACTCATTCCCTCCATGTAACAAATACAGCTATAAAATAAATATATGCTTTGCCTTTATGACTGCAACAAAGAGGATCATAAAAAGGAATGGGCTTTTTCGAAAGCCAACATAAATAAGAATTGTGGCAGTTCCCCAAGCCACTGACTTTTGCAATACGGATGCATCCTGCCAGAGCCATTGACAGAGACACACGTAAAGGCTTGATTTTGTTTTTCTTTGCTAAAACAATTCAAGTTTGTTCTTTTCTTTCTGCAGTCTTTGAACTACTTATTTTCAGTAGTTCAGGAGCTTACACAGAACTCCTAGCACAAAATGCACAGAAAAATAACAAATAATTTTCCCTAGAAAATGCATCATGTAGTCATTGTATTAACTAAATGCAAACAACATCTCATTTCTACATATTCCTCTTAAAAACATTACAAGGCTTCACAGCTACTTACATTTATGGTTAACTTTGCCTAAGGGAAAATGTAGCTGTTCTCAACAGAACTACTCAAGTGAGTAAAGTAGTTCTAAGATCATGGGTCAAATGAATCTCCTACACCCTTTTTATAAGAAATCCCTTCCTGGTTCTTTTCCTTAGGAAAACATACAGCACACAACAATTACTTACTGGTTCAATGACATTCAATGGAGAAGGGCATGACAGATTATCAGCACTTCTGCTTCCATACATACCCTGAAAAATTAAGTCAAGTTAATGCATTGAGGATTTTTTTAACACTGTCAGAAGCTAATATATAAATATGCTGTGTCACAGACAACTTTCTGTAAAAGCAGAAATTTGGAAAGAGGAAGCAAAGCTGGTTGGAGAAAGATTATTTCAGTCATTTTTAAATCTGGCCCTCTTCTATAAAAGGATTTACAAATAAAAAGATATTTATATGGTTCAAAGAATGCAGGTTTGGCTTGGGATCACAGTAATACCATATTTTCCTGTTCTTGGGTTTCAATTTTTTTCCCATGACAAAATACTGAAGAGAAAGATGTGGCCTGGGCCTGTACTGCTTCTACAGAAGAGGACTGGCTAAGAAAGAGGAATGAAACCCAGGAAGAACATATGATACTTTTGATCTGTGCTTCTTTTGTTTGGCTGATGACAGAGTTGCAGCAGAAGAAAGAGGGACAGTTTTCTGCTGAGTGAAAAAGAAGTGAAAGTATATCGCCACGCCACCAACAAACATATTCAAGCTGTCTTCTTTATCCACCCCTTTTGGACTTCTGGGGGAGTGTCTGTGGGAGTAGAGCTTCTCCCACTGTTTGGCTGGGAACCACATGTTGATCTGAAGGAGCTACAAAAGTCAATGGAGGAAAAAGCCGAAGATGAAAACTGGATTTTCCTGGTTTTTTGTTCCGTTGATTGGCAGCACTAGAGGGGAAGCACACCCCATTTATTGGGAGAGAAACACTGTATATTTCTCATCTCTGCCCTCATTTCACAAGCAAGGTGGAGGAAAACTCTAGAAAGACCATCCCCATCCCCCAAGAATTTCAGACCTGAGCACTACCTACCAAACCTGTGAGATTTCGGGGTCATGAAGAGGAAAAAGAAGAAAACACTGACAGAAGAGTCTGAAATCTCAGATCTAAAGCCCCAGAAGATATATATTGATATGTGTTAACACGGAGAAAGTCCCTCTGTTCCCACACTTTTTCCTCAAGATGAAACACTTACTGAAACCAATAAAATAAGACCCCTGATAATACACACAGCATCATTAGATTCTCCAGATATCATCCCATTGTAAGAGTTTTAACGGTTCTGAGTGACGAACATTACACTGAGAAACCATATCATGTTGTTGCAAAATACTTACTACGTGTGTCTGAGGTCTGTAAGGTGAAGACATGTGCAAACTTCTCAGCTGGTCTTCCAAAGCAAGCAGACGTTCTTCTAACTGCATCTCTAACTCCTGTAGCTCCATGCGGACAGACTTTCTCAAACTCTGTAGCTGATCAGCTTCGTATCTATACCAAGTCCATCATAAAAAGAACAAGGGCATTCACTGTACTCAGATGCACACCACAAAGGGGGAACTGAGCAGGACAGTCCCATAAGTAAATGACTCCATGCAAAAGAATTCAAAGTGGAAGACAGAAAATTCCTCCATCATGGAAAAATTAGCTGAAACCCCTAAATGGAACAAAAGTCTTTCTCCATTTATAGAAATGAGATAATTCACTTCGTGGAGAAAACTAAACAACATGGTGTATCATAGAACATGCTCCAAAAATTTTAGCTTTAAAAGCTTAAATATATGAATGCAGAAGAAATGGGCATTTAAACATATATCATATCAAATCCAATTTAAAACCGGTAACAACAAAAATCACAGAGCAACGCAGTAATCACATATTACTTGTGCATGATTCTAGGTTCCCAAGCAATTGCAGCTACATTTTGGCCAGGGTGCCATTGTCTGAGAAGGCAAACTGATTTCAAACATGTTTACTTTTAAAGTGATTAGTCAAGAGATGATTCAACTAAAGTAAATAAACAAGCAGTTTTGAAAATTGTTCCAGATCAGCTGCTGCTGCAACTCATGGTGAGCATAAACACACAGAGCCAGCATATGAATGCCACATGTAGCCTGCTGAGTGGCCACAGTAAGTTAGAAAAGCATCTGAATGCTAGAATGTTCATTTTTTATTTACATCTATGAAGATGGAGGGCAACCTAAGCTGAAATTCTCTTAAGATTTTTTTCCCCCCCACTATCCTATGATAAAAGTCCTTAAAATCCACAGCTGTAAAATCACTTTGGAGAAAGGATGAAGAAACAAATCAGCAATTAATGAGAAATAGAGATCAGAAGAAACAAAGAAGAAAAAACTCAAGAATGGAGAAATATAAAGAAAAGAGTAAACAAGTTCTTGGTAAAAACTCAGCTCCAACTCTGTTCAAATTGAAACTAATAGATTAAACTAATAGATTTTTTGCTCTGATTGCAGGGGCAGCGACACACTTCCTGAAGTATTTTCAGAGTATTTTCTCTCTTTTTTTAAAAAGACCATTTTACCTTTCCTCTTCTGTCATGTGCTGATAAACTGTTGTCTGTTGACGTAACATAGTCAATTCCAAATCCATCATTTGGGTTCTGAATAAGTTTAGATTTCGCCTTACCACTTGTAGCTCCTGGAAAGTATTCTAAAAAAAAAAAAAAAACCAAACAACAAAGCAGCGGGGCGGGGAGAGAAAAAAAGATAATAATCCATTACATGGAAAAATTGAATTAAAATAAGTTTGGATCCTATAACTGCATTTGCCCAGATGTGCCCTTTGAGTCAAGCAGAACCTCAGCAACTTCAGTATACTACAGAGGCTGCATGTTGTGAACTCACAATAACTCAAGAAAACAATATTTTCAGATGTATCATACGAGCAAACACATGAAAGGATTTCCATGTATTTAGATCCCTTTTTAACATTATTTGCAGGATGGGGTCATCTATTATCTCTTGAGAGCAACGATAGGGAACTGCCCCAAATTACCACAACCTGTAGCACATTTAGGATGTTTCTTTATGTTTTGTTTTGACTAAATACCACTGTGTGAATAGGGCCACTTACTTCATAGAGAGGTAGAATGGATGATCTCTGAGTAGTGTAACCGCTGGCCGCTGAAAGATCCTGACCCCTCATCACCGGGTACTAGGGAAAAAAATAAACAGTTTGAAATGGGAAAATCTGCAATCCCCTTTATTGAGAACTCCTCAAACGTGCAGATACTCCGCAAGCAGCCACTGTTACAAAAGCCTTGCTGGTACTGTGATTTCTGCTGTCTATGTAAATATTGTATCAGGAAAAGGAAACCTTGCAAAATGGCAGTGCCCCCTCTTAACTGAAGCATGTGCACCAAAGCTCTGTAATCCAAATGCACTGCAGGTGAAAAACCAAATTAATCCCGTCTGACAAAGTATGTAGGAATAAAAGCTAAGTTTTTCTGCAGCAGGCATTTTGTGTCTGAAAACTCAGTAGTCTCAATTGTCTCAGCAAATGATAAAAAGAACAACTCCCAAAACAGAACTGAGCAAATTAAAGTGTGTCCCGTTTTAAAATCATGATTCCAGTCACATTTATTGTGGGGTTTTGTTTATTTCTTAGTTTGGGTTTCTTTGTTGATTTTGGTTTTTAATCTCACTACATTGCCTACATCCAAAGACCGCTGTGTGCTAATGGTCTCTCGTAACAAGACGACTGCTGAAGAATTTCTATTTGCATGTTAGATCGACAATGGAGCAACCAGATAAAATTCAGGGGCAACATGTTGCATGTAGGAGACCTGGCACAAGAACAGTGGAAACAGCAAAAACATTTACCTCTTCAAACATGAAAACGACAGCTTGTCCAATATAATTTTGAAAGAATTCAAAGGACTATTGACACGCCATGGAAAATTTGAAGCATGTCCATTAATCCAGAAGAGTTTTGCTCAAACATGATCACATCGAGGCGATGTTTGGTTTTTCCTCTCCCAGTGTTCTCTGTTCCCTGTTCTATCAGTAATTTATCTATTCCTCTTATTCCTTCCTAAAACCAGAATCATATATTTGAAACATCGCAACTTCTTCTTTAGCAGCTGAGTATGTTCTGTGCCAAACTTGATCTCAGCTGTAGGAGAAATCAGCATCAAGGAACTATGTATTTTAAGTAAGATGGTTTCATACAAACTTCTATAATGAGAAGGACCAAGCCCCCAAAATGGAACTGGTCTAGACAAATTACTCTGGAAGCAGAACAAGTGGGCTAGGAGATGCTATTATCCCCTCCGATACTTTTTTTTTTTTTTTAAAAATGCATGAGCATGAGTTCTGGATGTAATACAGATGTTTCTTCTTCAGCAGGTTTAGTTAGCATCGTGTAAGTGGTAAAAGTACTTGCAGCACGCTGTAACCTTACACAAGTCAAGGCTGCAATTGGTACACAACAGGAAACTTTACAAAGAAGGTTAAATTCTGCAAACATCCACTCCCAGGCACACTGTCCACTACCCTGAGCAATGGGTGACTTAAAACCCAGTTGACTGCAACTTTCCACTGCGGGGCTGTGTCCCAATACCAAAGCTTGCTCCCAGAAGTAGGGCCAGCTCATACAACCAAAGTCAGTCTGGACTAGCCTCTAGCTTTTGACAAGTGGCAAAAAAAAGAAAACAATAGGACCTAAAAAAGTTCACTACATCCTACCACCTGCAATACGGTGCAGGTAGGCGCATGTTTGTCCTTCAGTGAAACCCACAGAAATTTTTGAAGCTCTGTAACAGAATAGTCTTCATGTATTCATATATAAGCAAGCACAGTCTGCAACTGCTCTGCCCACATAGCCTCCTGCAGCAGCTTGCAGGCTCCTAAGTTGGATCACCACCTAAGAGAACAGCAGTACAGGGATGGCAGAGGAGGGACAGCT